GGGCAATCACCTGGGGTCATGCTGCTAAGGTGTGGGGAAGGGGAGGCTGGAGCAGCTCATAGGACTTCTAGGCCATGCTGGGCCACAAGCTCCAGGGCCAGGGAGCCCTGGAGCACAAACTTCAGGTGCAATACCATTAGGTACAGGGAAGACAAAGGGCATCCACCTGACAGCGGCCATGAGGAGGTCTCTCAGGGAAAGTGCCACGTGGGCTGAAAAAAAGATGGGGATGCACGCCTGGGGAGGGCCAGGTGTTCAAAGGGAGGGCAGCTCCGTGCACACTAGAAGGAAAACCAGTTGGGGCTCCAGGGGCAGAAGAGAAGGTGGGGAGAGGGAAGAGATGGAATGTTGTTCAGAAGTAGGACACACGCTTATGCAGGACCCTTGGGACTTAAACTTCCAGGGACAGCTGTGCGACTAGATGGCATGGTCGCTGTCCGAGGTTCTGATCGCCTCCTTCAGGAGATTACGAAGGAAGCAAGCAAGCGATCTGGTACCCAACAAGCAGAGGAGGCCTCGAGCACAGGAAGGGCCAGACTTCAGCGAAATGCTGAAGAGGGCTGGAAACTTCCCAGAGAGCCCAGGAAACTCGGCATGAGGATGTACCACCCTCGGGGTGCTGCAGCCCTGGCTTCAAGGGCATCTTCAGCAATGCTCTGACTCTAAGGCGGGTAGCTGTTAATTCCCGGTCACGTGCTCTTGGGAATGAAGACACTGGTGAGCAATTTCCAGGCACAACCTCTGCTCAGAGAGTGGGAGGCTTGTGCAGGAAGGTCTGTGACCTGTGCTGTCCTGCCTCGTTTAGGCCCGTGGAAACAGGGCAGGAGGGGGCCTGCCTCACACAGCTGTCCCTTTGCTGAGCCCCCCCCCCCCCCAACTGCCTTTCCAGCCAGAAGTCCAAGGATGATGCACCTGGTCCAGGACTAGACTCTTAGACATCAGTCCTTGCCACTCACTCTCACACCTTAAAAGGCAAACAAAACCACTGCTGAGAGCCCACATCTCCCTCGAGGGGGCTACAGCTGTCCAGGAGAGAGAAGGGAGGCAGCTCCTACTGACCCACCGCTGTTGCTCAACTCTGTGCATGATAAGGAGTCATTGCCAAAGTCACAAGGAGAAGCTCTTGTGTCCCCACCCAGCCTCACCTCTAAATACAGCGCAATGGGTCTATAAACAGTGGCTCACGTAAGCAGCTTCCAGGTACCCAGAAAGCCCCAGTGTCAGTGACCAGGCCCTTCTGATGTGCTGTCTCCCTACTGTGGCAGAGTGTGCCTTAGCCACACCGCCGCCCGCCCCACTGGGACAACTCTGACTCTATGCATGAAAGAATGACATGTGCTAGCCTCCTTGGCAGTTAGCCGAGGCTGTGGGGCTGACCAAAGTGACACGTGCAAACCCGTGTGGCATGTCTCAGGAGAGGTCGCAGTCCCCTCTCTGCATCCTCCCCACTTCTGGCTGGAGTGCAGAAGGATGGCTGCCACGTTGGGCCATCCCAGAGGCATTCACGTGCCACGGTGCTATGGTAGTATTTCACTTCTGCTCAAGTGAGTCTCCTTTCTCATGGCAGACATTTGGAGCCATCCCCAATTTGTAGGCACTGAGATGTCTCTTAGGCCAGAGTGGCATAAATAAATAAGACCTAGTGACTGGGGCCTGATCCCTACCCCTCTCCTCTATGACCTGGGGCTGGGGATGGCTGCAATGCCTGGGGGACTAGCTGCTTCGAGAGCACTAACCCACAGCCCCTCTGTATTGCCGCCTTTTGTTGTTTAACTGCAGCCCCTTCAGCTCTGACTCTGAGCCTGGCCACAGGACTTCACTTAGCCAAGAGACTTGCAGGTTGAAGCTTAACAGTCTACTGTGGCTTCCTCTTTCTCTCTTGGAGCTGGGTGACCACCGTGAGAATGTGCTTGGCCTAGCCTGCTGGAGGGTGAGCCACAGGCAACAGAGCACGGGCCAAGTTAGCTCAGCCGGAGACTACAGCGAGTGAGTGGACTTCAGCTGACCCCAAGAAGAATCTCAAGGCCAAGCCCTATCAAGATTAATTACCAACCGCAAAAGTGACCTGTAGAATTGTGAACAACAGCAAATGCATTAGTTTAAGCTAATGAATTTTGAGGTTCTTTGTTATGAAGCATTATAACAATAGCTGACTGCTGCAAACCTTCCTTTTCCCAACAATTCCAACAGCTAATGAAGGTACATTCTTCACAGGACAAGCAAGGGATTTGGTAAAGTAGTGTGTGTAGGTTCCCATGTTGAGGCACAGTGATGCCATTTGCTACTTCCATGTCCTTAAACAACTAACCACCTCCTCAGTTCTCTTCCCATCCCTTCCCTTGCCTTCCCTTGCCTTCCCTTGCCTTCCCTTGCCTT